ACGTATTTTGTCTATGTTTTTCAAAGCTCATTTATTTATATAAAGAACAAAATTCAACCAATGTAAGTTGCCCGTTTTGTTTGATAACCTTTTGCCATCTTTCAGTGAGCTTCATAATTCCTTGTTCACAGAAGGACCTGTCTTTATTTGCGAAAAACCGAACAAGGTGCTGATTTACAGCCTCATCTGAATTGAACATTAAACCACGCAAGGAGTTTTGAAGAGAGCGAAACAAGTGGAAGTCTGATGACACAAGGTCAGGTGAATATGGTGGGTGTGGCAACACATCCCATCCAAGCTCCAATAATTTTTGACAGGTGATCAAACTTGTGTGTGGTCTCGCGTTGTCGCGATGGAACATAACTCCTTTACAATGAACGAGCTCTGGATGTTTCTGGGTGATGGATTCGTTGAAACTGTCCAATTGCCGACAGTACACATTCGAATTGATTGTTTGGTTCCTTGGTAGCAGCTCAAAAAATGTGACACCTTTAAAATCCCACCACACTGAGAGCATAACCTTCCTCTGATGAATGTTTGCTTTTGATGTCGTTTGAGGCAAATCATCACGCCAGGACCAAGACCCTCTGTGCACCACATTGTTGTAAACAATCCACTTCTCATTACCAGTTATCAGTCGTTTCAAAAAAGGATCGTTTTCCTCACGTTTAATAAGCATATTGCAGATGTTTATATGCGCCATCAAATGAACTTCTTTGAGTTCATGCGGAACCCAAATATCGAGCTTGCTTACATATCCCAGCTTCTTCTGGTGGTCATGAACGCTTGGATGATGGATATTCAATGTTCCTGCAATCTCTCGTGTCGTGTAACATGGGTTTGACTCAATCAATGCCTTTATTTTGTCATCATCAACCTCGGTGGGCCTCCCTGACCGAGGAGCATCGTTGAGATCAAAATCACCAGCATGGAATTTTGTGAACCATTGTTGGCACTAACGTTCTTGTAGAGCATTGTCACTGTTAACTTTATGCAACTTTTCACGAGCTTGACTCACATTCTTCCCTTTATGGAAGTAAAACAGTAAAATATGGCAAAAATGCACAGTTTGGTCTTCCATCTTCAACTTGTTGTAAAATCTCTAAAACTCAACCAAATCGCTCAATTTTTTTTAGAATGAAGCCAAACTTGTCAGCTGTCAAATGACATAGCAATAACATAGATGCAAATGAGTCTAGTACTTCCAAAAATGAACTAGTGCCATCTGTTGCAAATATGCATCATGACTTTTCCAACAACCCAATATCATGTGTAGTACTAGAATAAACAAACAAAATAAAATACCACTCAATAACTCCCAGTGTGGTAAGAAGCATAGGCTCCTAGTAAGCCAGATTTGGGTTCAAATCCCTGCTTTGCCATTTGCTAACCATATGGCCCTGGGAAAGTGGCTCCTCCCCTCAAACCCTCCCTTTCGCAGGCCTGTGAGGGGAAGATTAAGTAATATACATAAATGTACATAAAAACAAACATGCATTGTGTGTAAGGTATGTAAAAACTACATACCTGTAATATATGCACAAAGCCTGGTATGTCGTAGGTGCTACAAATCAACTTTTTGAATGAATCAGTTCAACTTGTTTGTTGAATAAATCAAGTGGAAAGCAGGCTTTGTGACAATGCCTCTCACCCCGTGTGACCATTAGCAGGAAAACAGCAGTCACAAGGGGGAAGTGCATCCTGGTAGCGGATGGGAACACATGTGCTCAGTGTGGAGGGGGTAAAGCCCATCACCTCTGCCACTGAGCCTGACCAGGGCCAGGAGTGTTGGGGTGACTGAGCCTCGGTCCTCGCCTGAACCGCAAGGGCGCTGATCATAGCTGCTATAGACCCTTCTGGCTTGGACAAAGTGCTCCATCTTCTGAAGTCCCCAGGCTGCTTGTGTAAGTAGAGGGTCCCTACCTGCAGGAAGGTCAGGGCTGCTCTCTGCAGCAGGCATTCTGCATAGCAGACCTCAGCATGGATTTCCTCTGCAGGGAGAAAACCAAAGCCCTGTGTCCTCCTGGGACTCCTGGCAGGAGGCTTGAGCCAAATCCTCCCACCCCCACTTCCCAAAAGGCCAAGGGAGCCTGAGTCAGCACCCTCCCCATCCCCATCCACTCCGTCACCCAGGCCTGGTTCTTTCATAGCACACACCACTGTCCCAAATTAATCTACACTTGCCCTCCCCTTGTCTTCCTCCTGTTCCCCCACCCCACCACCCAGAATGCCAGCACGGGGCCCTCAGGTTTGCTCTCTTGTTCCCCAAGCATCACGGTGGTGGCTGTGCACCAACACCCCTCCAGAGCCAAGCAAGGAGCAGGCACCGGGTGGAACTGATGAGTGAAGAAAATCCTGATCTAGGGAAGCCGTAGGAGGAAGGGAAGGGGCCTAACACAGGCCTGGAGTCAGGGAAGGCTTCTAGAAGAAAGGACAGCTGAGCTGAAAAGGGAATGGAGACAGGAATAGCTTTCTAGGCAGAGACCTAGGAAAACCAAACAACTCAGATGTTTGGGGACCCCTGAGCCACAGGTGGTTAAAATGGGGTAAGGCGGGGAGAGACTAAGGGGGAAGGGAAAGATGAGGGGAGGCAGAGGACAGCTGGCAGAGACTTCGACACTGGTGGGGGGGTTACAGATTTGGTCCTGTGGGCAGCAGGGGGCCATGGAAGGTATGAAGAAGGAAGTGACACCTTCATATGCACTGTTTCTTGCTGGACATTTTTAGGGTTTTCGAGGTGGGGAAGGCCATGTGCCCCTGCACTGAAGAGCCTGAAATTGCTCATGGTTGGCTGCTGCTACCTCCAGGACAGCTACGTGTGATCACGGCACAAAAATGCCACACAGGCTCTGGCAGCCCAGACTATCTCTTCCACTGCTTTTAGCTGTCTCATCCCAGTGCGTCAGCTTCCAAAACCACATTCCCTCTGGGACACATGCGATCACTACAATAATTAAACCAGTAGACCTAACAGCACACACAATGCTAAGGCCACCCTGGCCTGAGCAACAAAGCACACGGACCTGGTGACAGAATTTTCTTTCCTGGACCTCCAGGTTCTTAGCAGGTAAAGCTATCAGCTAAGTGAGTCTCGTCTGCTCCCCCTTCACCTGAGAGCCACTCCTCAAAAGGCCGCAGGTTTGACCCACGTGTCCCGCATCTAGGCCAGGGCTCTGCGCCCTCAGTGATGACTCGGAGGATAACTTCCCCTTCCCACCCCTCCCTGGACCTGGAACTGGGCTGCCTGGGGTCAGCGGGGTTGAGAGGACATCCTGGGTGCCGCACCTTCCGTGAATTGGTCCATAGTGGGGCGGTGCACCAGATTGCTGAAGGAATCTGTTACAGAGGACTTCTTCCGGTGCCTAAAGAGGACAAAGGGGTCTTGGATCATTCAGTGAAAGTGAGCGAGGGGCCCAGGTGGGCTCCGACCACATCTTCTGCTCCTCCACAGGACTGCACACACAATGAACTCCTGGCAACTCCCCCAAATCCAGGGCTTTGCCTTGCCCTTGCTGTTGCCTTTGCCTGGAGCCCTCTCTCCTCCTCCTTCTGCTCCTAGTCATCCTTCAGGACCCAGCTCTGGCATCACCTTCTCCAGGAAGCCTTTCCGGCTCCTCCATCTGGACCCCCATGACCCTTTGAGCTTCCCTGCATCATGCTGGGATGTCACTATCTGTACCTATCTCTCCAACCAGGCAGTGCGGGCATCAGAGGGGCCAGGTCTGGTGATCCCCTGGGTGGCCAGTGGCCAGCACAGGGCCTAGCGTTGGCCAAGCATGAATGTGTGCCCAACGAATGGTGACCAGCTGTACATAAGCACTCAGGGTCTACTGGTTCATTAATTCAAGCAGTTAGCATGTACTGAATACCAATTATACACCAGGTCAGCGGTTCTCAACCTTCCTAATGCCGCGATCCCTTAATACAGTTCCTCATGTTGTGGTGACCCCCAACCATAAAATTATTCTTGTTGCTACTCTATAACTGTAATTTTGCTACTGTTATGAATCGTAATGTAAATATCTTTTTGTTTTCCGATGGTCTTAGGCGACCCCTGTGAAAGGGTCATTCGCCCCCCAAAGGGGTCGCGACCCACAGGTTGAGAACTGCTGCACCAGGTCCTGTGATTGGTATCTTCTTCATTCAGCCCCCACAACAACCCTATCAAAAACCACACCCATTTTATAGATGAGAAAAGTCAAGTCCCAAGAGGGACTTGCCCAAGGTCAAAGACTTATTAAATGACAGAGCCAGAATTCATCTCCTCCTAATCAGACCTGACCCCTGGAAGACTCTCAGTAAGTGGCTCTGACAAGGTTCCTGAGGCAGTGCTGACAGAGACAACTCTTAGCACTTGGGGACACGGTCTCTTAGCCAAAAGGAGCAACACTCTTAATGGCATTTTTGGGCACTGGAATAGGCCAGGATGACAGAAAGATGGGCCTCACGACCCCTCATCCCTGCCCACCCTGTGGCCCTGACCTCTGACACAGCAACTGCGCCTCCTTCATCATGTTGCCAGCAACCAGGATGTCCTGAGGGTCAAAGGTCATCATGGCCTGCATCTCCAGGATGGTGGCATACGTCAGCGAGTGGTACATGCTCTCCTTGGTTCTGCCAGAGAGAAAGGACATGGGAGTGCCAACTCCTAGAACTCCAGAGGTAGCTGGCCCTGTGTCGTCACCCACCATCCCCTCTCCCACTCTGCATGGGGGGTGGGGAGAGATGGAGGCCCAGGGAGGGGAACAGACTTGCTCAAAGTCTAAAGACCTCAGACGCCAGCTGACTGGCCCTAAGTGATTTTCCAAATCTGAGCCTCAGTTTCTTCTCTGTTCTGTGGAGATAGCAGCAGCCAGGCTGCTGTGAAGACTCACAAAAGGAGTTAGCAACGTTGGCCTGAGGCCATGCTTCCCTGAGCCACGGGACTGTCTCTCATCTCCTGCCTCACCTCCCACAGGCAGAACCCAAGTCCTGTCTGTGGAATCTCTGCTGTCCTCAGGCCCCACCGCTAGGCTCCTCCCATCCTTGTTCCCTGGACCTCCTCACTGGCCTCTCACCTCCTGCCTCCCCACATTCCATCAGCTGATCTTGTCGCTCTCTGGTTAAACCCTCTTGTAGCTTCCACATCCCATGAGATAATGCTTGGGTCCAGGGCACCACACAACGCAGGCCCTACCCACCTCTCCAGCCCAGCCCTCTTGTCACTTCTGCCTCTGCCCTGTGATCTGGTCACATTCAAGATTGAACTACACATGCTCTCCTCAAGAAAATCCCATACTTTCCCTCCTCCGGGTCTTTGCCCATGCCGTTCCCTCAGCTTGAAATGCCCTTCCCCTACGTCTTCAGACTCATCTGTCAAGGTCTTCAAATGCCTCAAAGGCCACTTTGAGAATCCAGGGCTCCCTCCTCAGGGAGTACGTATCTATAACGGCTCACAATGAACGCATAACCGCAGAGGCTCAGCTTTCTCCCCAGACTGTGGGCATCTCAGGGACAGAGCTTGTGTGGGACTCACCTCTGCCCTCAGCACCAACATGACAGGACCCAGCAAGCCTGCCTCAGGACGCCTTCCTCCCCAGCCTCCTGGCTCCACAGCCCCAGACCTATCGACTTAGGGTATTTTGGGGCTGGGACACATTTAGTCTCACACAGGGAGAGAGCAACAGGCAAGGAGGGATGGGAACAATGACAGGCTTTCTCTGTGCTTGGGGAAGTCGTAACATGTCTAGGCCTTGATTTGTGCTCTTGCAAAATGGGAACAATAATGCTGACCTGCCCGCATCTACACGGAGCTAGCTGGGCAGGACTCTTGCCTGACACACAGTAGGTGCTGCGGCCGTTTCACCCCCTTCCCTACAGCCCCTCGTTAATTATTTACGAATCTTCTCAGTGCCAGGCTTATGCCGGGAACTTTAGGGCAAAGAAAGATGACTAAGGTTTATAGACTGTTCTATTGTATAATCACATGACTTTACCCATTTTCCTGCCTTTCTCCTTCATGAAACACCTCTGTAAATTAAGTTGTTTTTTTTACTTCTGGGTGACCCTCAGGTGATATTATCCTTGGGCGTCAAAGGTTTTTGAAGGAAAACAATGGTTCGTTCATCCCTCACCAGCCCTGGCAGGTGTTGGGACACCTCCCAGGCTTGTGGAAAGGAGGCCACGGCCTGCAGTGGGGGCAGAACTCAGGCTTTAGATTCCCGCAGACCCAGACCGGTATTTTGGCTTTGCTAGATGCCAGCTGTGTGATCCTGGTGAGTCTCGTAGCCTCTCTGAGCCTCAATTTTCTCCTCTGTAAAATGCATACCATAACCATTCTCTCCTAAAACTTTGGGTGCCTTAAATAGTCCAGGGCCATATCACTGATGCTCAATAAATGTGAATCCCTCCACATCCGGCCAGGGTCAAGGGTCATTGCCCTCAATAAATGCTTTGTCCTTGGGGAGAGGTTTCTCTGGTGGCACACAAACCCATGCCTCCCCAGATAATCACCTCCCACCAGGCCTCTTTAGCCTAAAGAGGCTAAACTCTAAAGCCCTTGCCTTTTTCTTCTCTCCCCTAATCCCTGTGCCCCAGGCCTGAGTCTAGGGACTCAGTTCCACCCACTCAGCCCCAGCTGCCTCAATTCTTCCAGACTGAGGAAGAGCCCTGTCAGGGCAGCTGGCAGGCAAAGTAGAATTTCTAGTCTGAGTCCCAAGGCTGCGACATGCTCCTGAGGGTTGAGAATCCTGGCACCTGCCAGCCCACCACCTGGAAGCTCTTTATGGGCTGGGATTTGGGGTGCAGAGGTATGACAATCCCCTTGGCCTCGGACACTCCAAGTTTAGTTTGTACTCCACAAAGTTCTTGTTTGCACATATAGCATCCAGCCCCCTCACCTCTGAGCTAGACCCAGCTCTGCAACATCACCCCCATTGGGATCTCACCCAGACCAGCTGCCAAGGTGGGGAGTACACTGGAAGAACCCTCAGAAGAGCTGGCGTTGGGTCCAGGGACTCCTTGGCCACTTGGAGGTCAGCTGAGCCCAGTGGCCTCCAGCGCTACCCTCCTCTGCAGGCAGCCAAGGCTCAGGTCCTTGTCAGCTACTTGTCAGCCATCCTTGTCCCTGCCATCTGGGCCCCGTGACTCTGACCCAACCCCCACTGATCCGTCCTGAGGGACCCACCCCCTTAGTCCCAGCCTAAGGCCCCACTTCTGAGGACCTCTCTGGGTGAGGCTGTTCTAGGCTGGAAGGCAGAGGCAGTCCCCTTGCCTCCAATCATCCTCTTCCTCATTGAAGCCCCCGCACCCCACTTCCTGGTCCTCTTAGACCCCACCTCACTGCTCTCCTCTCCAGCCCAAGTACCTTCTAGGTGGTGCGGGGGGGGGGGTCATATCCCCAGTCCACCTTCCTGAGAGACTGTTGTAAGACTCATCATGATCATCACACTCTGGAACCCCCATCCCCCAGAAGCTGGGCCACTGACCCCCAGGCAAGAGAAAAATGGACCCCTCAAGTCTAGAGAAATTGAACAGGTCAGGCTTGGAGACTTGGGGAAAGAAGTCTCCTGCCTCAGTATTTGCTTCTCCTGGGTGGGGAGGTGGTGGGGTTCAGGGAACAACGTAGGCGGAGGACAACCTAGAGCTGAAAAGAGGGGATTAAGGGTAAGCAGGCAGGAGACGTGATTAGACCTCTGGCGCCTCACCCCCACCCCAATCCCAGAATGCAGGCCAAGGAATAGAGCATTCTTCTCTGGAGCAGCTGACATCTGGGTCCAGGTCATCCCAAAGCTGATGACGCCAATTAGAAGGCTACTTGGCTGACTTTCTGGTCCGCCTTTGGGTGAACTCACTCCTAAATATGACCATATCGATAGCCAGGGACCAGCAGGCATTAAGAAAAGCCCCCCACAAGAAGAGGACTCCCCTCATTCAATAAAAATAGGGAACCTAGAGAAAGCTGAGATTATACAGGAAAAGAATAAAACATTTTTAAAAGAGAATATTCTGTGATAATAACACCAATAGATACTTATATATTAGAGTGCTTACTACATGCCAGGCCCTATCCTAAGGATTCTCGTATCCCAAATATAAATATAAAGGACAGAGTGTACCCAAAAACCAAGAATAAGATGTTTTAGGGGGAAAAGAACATTCAGAAAACAATGAGGAACACAACAAATTAAACATATGTTTACAGAAATAAAGTCAATAAAAGTATTTAATGATAAAATTGAGGAGATCTCCCAAAAGTCAAAGGAAAAAAAAGAAAGAAAGAATTGTGAATTGGGAGCAGGGGGAGATAAGACGCTTAGAAGAGGACTGATCCAGGAAGTCAAATATCTGGCTTAAAGAAGCTCGGGAAAGGGAAACAGAACATAGAGGATCATATGAGAGAATTTCCTAGAACTGAAAGACAGAGTGTCAAATAAAATGTACCAAATAAAAAAGATCTACATTCCAGCACATCATAGTGAAATTTCAGACTTGTGGGAATAGAAAAGATTCTAAACATTTCTGGAGCGGGACTAAAAATCCCATGCAAAATAAGAAGAATTAGGGGCCTCAAGGTCACCATAGATGCCAGGAAAAAGGGTACAATGCCTTCAAAATTCTGAGGGGGAAAAATTATATTTATGCCACTCTCAGGAAATTTTTAGAGGACATGCTCTAGTAAAATGAGGGAGAATACAAGAGAGAAAAAGCTGGGATCAAGCAAAGAGGAGAGAAGAAAAGGGAGTTCCAGGAGACAGCTGGGAGGTGGCTGCAGACACATCTGTCCTCCAGGGGACTGGTTTCCAGGAAAAGGAGGAACTGAGAGCGCTTACCTGCTACATCTAAGCATTTAGGAAAAAAATCATAATAGCATGATCTGATGGAGTGGTTATAAAGAGTTCAGGATAAATGGATAGCAAATTAGGCAAATAAAAAAACAAGACAATTATTAACTCCAGAAAGGAAATGTAACCTTACAATGTATGACTTGTCTCTGCAGTGAGCATGCATTACATAGTTATAATAATGTAAACATTGATTATTGATTTAGCCAAATATTGTGATATGGTGATAAGAGGAGGAAGAGGGATAAGAGGAGGAAGAGGGAAGGGAGATGAGATAGGGGTATAAGAAAGCTAAATTCTTGTCTACCAATAGATAATGTTTAAAAGTAAAAAGTCAAAAAGAGTGAATTTTATGGTATATGAATTTTATCTCAATTTAATTTCAGTTTTTGAAAAACGGAAAAAAGTGATAAAAAAGAAGAGTATAAGCATTATTATTTAGAAATAAGGCAGTGAATGCTAAAAGAAATGGCTAAATGACTGTCATTATTACCCTAAAAAGCTTAAATAACGGCAATGCAAGTGTTTAGTGCTTTGGGGAAAAATAAAGAAAAGGGGCTTATGGGGGAGATACTCCCAGTGGATTCAGTGGGACCAAGAAATCAAAGTGGAAGAGGCCACAAGAATCTATGGGGAAGGAAGTCATAGTGACCTTGGGGAGGGCATGGCTGTTCTCAGATGTGGAGAGTCCCATTTATGGGACTCTCGAGGGTCATGGTGACCCAGAGGCTGAAGGCATTCAGTTACATGGGGATCCTCTCACATAAGACCTCTGGTTCTCCGTGATCCAACACCCACATACCTACAATCACATGTGCACATGGACACATACACACACACACACACTCACACACACACACACCCAAAACCCAACCTGGGCTTAAGCCTCACCTGGGCTTGAGGTAGCTGAGTGCTTCTGAGAACTGGTTGGTGAGGAAGAGGTCCAGAGCGGTCATACACTGGTCCAGGGCCTCATGGAGGCTGCTCACAGGAGTCCTGATGAGAGAGGCATGGGGTGTGATGCGGGAGCCCTCAACCCCACTCCCCGCTGGAGCAGAGCCTCACAGGGCCCACTCGACCTCCTGGGTGGGCCTTGGATGCCTGTCACGAGCTCCTCCAGGCTGCCCACTCTGTACTGGGACACAGGACAATTGGGACCCACCTTTAAGTGTTCCTAAAGGTGGAAGAGAGCAGAATGGGGTATCATCTGAGATCTGGTGGAGGAGACTGGGGAGGGGCCAAGGACGGGGGCGGGGGGAGGAGCGAGGAAGCCTCAGGAATAAATTTATCTTACCCCTCACAAGGGTAAAGGAAGTCTTTGTGGCCCTTCTGACCCATTGGGCTTTTCTGCCGCCCCCTGGGGGGCACAGCCCACCCACTAAATCCCACTTCAGTCTTTTTCTTCCTCTTTCTCTAGGTCTTCTTCTGCCCCCCTCTGCCTGCACTCTAGAACCCCAGAAACACTGTCACAATGGGCTGTAGTGGGCAGCGGACCTATAAGAACTGCCCAGGGCCTTTTATGCTCAAGAGTTGCCTATCCCAATGGCATCTCTAGTATACTCCAGTCCTTAGACTTCTCTATGGCTCTTATCACCTTCTGACATATATTTTTTACTCATTTTTGTGTTTGTTGTCTGTCTCCTTGCTGCTCTTGGCTGGTCTTTGTAAATCTGGAGCCTGGTTAGGTCTCTTCTGCTGATGCAGATCTTCCCAAGCAAATTGAAACATGTCTACTTCAAAACTGAACTCTTGTTCATAGACCCAAATCTGTTCTTCCGCAGCCTTTGCCAACTTAAATCAATCTCAAGCCAGAAACCTGTTAGTTATCCTTGACACATCCTTCTCCCCAGCCTCCATCGTCTACTCCATTACTAAGCCCTGTAAATTCTACATCCTGAACATCTCTTAACCTGCCCCTTTCTGTGCCCAGGGCCCTCCAGAGTAGGCCACTGTCATCTTTACCCAGGTCTGATGGAAGACTACCCCTTCCACTCCCGCCGCCTCCTACCTTTTCTCCTTCTCTCTCTCCGTTAGACCATTTCATGCTATATTTCATGTCTCTTTGCCACTTCTTTGACTCTCTCTGTTAGAATCTGAGTAATTTCTTTAATCTTTCATCTCACTAATTCTCTTTAAGAGTGTCTGATCTGTTACTTATCCTGTCTACCGAATTTTTCATTTCAATGATTATAGTTTTCATCTCCAGAAATTCCACTTGGTTCTTTTTCAAACCTGCTTGGTCATTTTGGGTAGTATTTTTTACCTTGCTTATTGTTTCAAGTCCACCTCTGATTTCTTTATACACTTTAAACACAATTATTTATATTCTATATATCATAATTCCAGCATCTAAGGCTGACAGAGAAGCTAATTCTATTTCTTGCTTCTGGTGCCTATCGATCACAGTGACTTGTTTTCTTGTGTGTTTCGTAATTTCACTCTAAGCTCCTATTTGACAGATCCCTTTGGGGTGAGTACAGATCCCTCCAGGGAGGATAGTCATTCACTCTGGCCAGGTTCCCTGGGGAACTACCACCCTGAGACCACTTACAGAACTTTTGTAGTTTAGTATTTCCAGGACCACAAAGGTAGGGTGTAGTCAAATCCAAAATTTGTGTGAGGGCAATATTTATAATTTTCTAGGGAGCCTTTTTGCCCCACCAGAACGGTTGTCTCCTTTTGCGGATGGGTGGATACTTTTTTCCGGTCAATGCCCCTATTTGCTGAGGACAACCTTTGAAGTTCCGAGATTCATGTGGTGGGAGTTGGGAGGCTAAGTTCCATCTCCTCAAACTGTGGCTGGTTAGGCCCAAAACCCTATTTCCTATCCCTTGAGTGGCTGTTAAAACTCAAGGTTCTGGGGTTCTGGAATTTGTAAATACCCCCGGGTTGCTATGGCTTCATCTTACTTACCAGCCTGATTTCAGCTCCCTCTTTATTCTTGGCTTGAGAAGACTTCTGTTACTTTTGTGGGAGCTCAGGAATGTATTTAAAGGATGTTTGTTGTAACCCATCCAGCCTCTATGTAGTTTTTTTTAAGGGAGAATGTTGGAAGTGTTATCTCCTCTAATCCGTCCCTTTCATGATAGGCAAAGTTATTTTTTTTAAACCCAAAAATGACCAAATCACAATTTTGGACTTGAAATTCTTCACTGCCCTCTCATTACTCTTAGGATAAAGACCAAGTTCCTTTCCATGGCCAAAAAGGCCCCACCAGAAGCAGCCTATCACTCTTCATGAGGCACAGACAGTACCTTCCTTGGTGCTCAGGGCTTCGCTTACTGACTGGTGTTCAGTCCACCTGTCTCAGTTGGGTGAATCAACGAAGAGGCAGTGAGCACTTACGGGCTTGGGAGTTAAACTGGCATTCTCTCCTTAAGCTCTCACTAAGCCCTGTGAAGTGGGGTTGTTACCCTCACCATAGATGAGGAGACTGAGGCACAGAGGAGAGGTGACTTGGCCAAGGTCACATGCGCAAGCATGGGTTCTAACCCAAGTTTCTGCCTGAGCCAGTGCCCACCAGCTTAGTCCCAGGGAGTCAAGTCCATTGTCCTGGCTTATATCCGTCTCTAAACAATTCCAGAGCCAAGAGCCTGCCTCCCGTTTTTGCATACACCCAACCACCAACATCACCTTCACCCCCCACCAAGGAAGGGTTCTGCCTGCTTGGACTATCTGGAGCGAAAGAGGCACAGACAGATGGACAGACAACATATTACCTCCCTGGTGGCCCCAGCACCTCTTCTGCTTAACTGTAGTGAGGTGGGTCTGAGGTGACAGTTCCAGACTGGGAGTTGCTTTGGGGAGGCTCTAGGGCTGATTCCCACCCTCCACCCCCCCACCCCAACAAATGCCCACTAATCTCCAGCTCTGGGCCAGGAGTGGGGACACAGAGTGGATCCAGATGTGGGCCTGCCCTTGAGCATCTACAGGAGGAACAGGGCAGGGAGACAGAGGCTCTGCAAGGCCTGCTAAGTGGAGGGGTCACAGTGGGTGTGTGGCTGGCTGGGGAGCTCAGGAAGGCTGGGGACAGGGGCCCCATTTCACTTAACCACCACCTCTTCACCACCATGAAAATATCACTTCAAGTTATCTAAATTGATGACTAAGTATTTCACTCAATTCTCCCACCAGACCTGAGAGGTAGGCACTCTTATCTGCATTTGACAGACAAGGAAGTGAAGACAGGAATCTAGTCTGCTCCTCCCAGGATCCTGGGAGAAGACAGGATGATTTCTGCAAAAGCAACCTCACCAAACCGTCTTCCTCTCCTGGCTGCAAGGTCCCCACTTCTCCACAGATTGTCCCTGAGTTTCAAAGGTCTTTCTGCTCCAGGCCACCTTGCCTGGCCCAGGCCAATATTTTCCCCAGCTCCCAAGTGGTGAGGGTGGCCTCTCCACTGTGCCTTGGGGAAATAGAGGATTGGAGGGGGGCGCTAAGCTGGATGGGGCATGCAGCAGGGCTGGTGGCCAATGCCAGGAGCTTTGGCATGGTTGGGAAGGGTGGCTTGAGGCCGAAGTGAAAAGGGAATTGGATTGGAGGCTGAGAGGGAGTGTCAGCCTGGGGCTTTAATCAGCCTGGAAGCTGCTACCTTTGTGCCTGATGGGCAGGGCTGGGTGGAGCTGGGCAACTCTCAGTCCCCACTGGGGACAGAAAACCACCATTGTGCTGACCCCAGTCAGGGTGAAGCGTGTGGGGGACAGTGGAGGCAGAGCAAGGACGTCACTTATGGAGCAGACTGGAGTCAGAGCTGGCTTTTATTCCCTGCTCCACCATTCAGGAGTAACTTTGGCTCAGAGAGTGAGGCAACATACCCATGAGGACCTGTCGCTTCCAAAATGACTTTTCTAAATTGCAAATATGACTGTGACTCTATTTCCAAAGAATCCCCCTTGGCTGTGCAGGAAGCCATGTGGCATGGAGGGAGGTGGTATGTCCTAGTACAGCATGGCCTTCAAGACTTTTGAAAGCAGATAACCCTGGACTCAAGCTGCAGCTCAGCAATTACTTGCTAGAGAAACCTGGGGAGGTTCTTTAACCTCTACGAGCCTCAGTTTCCTCATCCATGAAATAGGACTTACAATGACATGGGAGGTAGGGGACAGCCAGGGTTGCTGTGAAGAACAATTGAGCCAATGTAAAGCACAATAAGAGGTGCTCAAGAAATGCTAGCGATTGTGTTTTTTTCCCTAAGATTATGTATTTCCATCATCTCTTTTATCAAGCAGTACTGCTTTTACAATGAAACTAAGTACCTTTAAAAGATTGAGTGCACATACCATATGACCCACTCCTATGGGGCAGCCTAGAAGAACACTCGCATATGTGCAAAGGACAATCGTACGAGAATATTCATTGTGTGAATAGCAAGACACTGGCTTGATAAATAAATGGGGGTCTCTATATCGGGTGGTCTACTATACATCAGGGCAAGTGGGGACGCTGAATCTCAGAAACCTGGAACTGAATGACAGACAGCAAGCTGCAGAATGAGTAATGCCATATGATTCCATTTGCATCAAACTTTTAAAGTAAGAACAAACTACATATTTTTTCAGCCTTACACACACTGAGCAAAATAATAAAAACAATTAGAAAAATGATAAAACCCAAATTCAGGATGGTGATTATCTCTGTAGAGAGAAGCAGGGAGAGGGTCCACAGAGGCTCCATTCAATGGTCTCTGCCATGGCTTGTTTCTTAAAAAGAATAATATGAAATAAATGGGGCATAACGTTAATATCTGAAAAAGCTGGATGGCAAGGGCATAGAGTTCATTTTATTATTTGCTATATTTTTCTGAAGGTTTGAAATATTTCATGATTTTTTAAGTGGTGGAGATTTAAACCTTGGTTTGTTCACCACTGACCCTAATACACAAGGCCGGGCCCACAGCAAGCCTCAGGGGTGTTTGTTGAGTGACTGAATGACTGTCAAAGGTGAAGGTGGTACTGCTTTGCCTCTGTTCTGCTCAGATCTCAACAGGATGGCACTGACCAGGGGCAGGGGCAGATGCAGGTAGACCTGTGAAGCCTCAAAGAAAAGTGGGACCTGGAGGGCATGCCAGGGGCAGGTATGGTTCAGTATGAGGAAGGCTTACCAGTACTAGAAGAGTGAGCTCGCTGCCCTGGAGGCCCTCGAGGGGCCAGAGGAGCCTGGAATTTTAGAAAGGACTCAGGCTAGGATGTGAGTGTGCAAGGAAGAGGGATGAATGTATCTTCTAGCCTGGGAGTTCAGGATTCTTTGATAGGTGCCTTGCTCTGCCTGCCTTCTGACCGGGAAACCATTTTTCTGGGCCCAATGGGACGATACTCAATCATTACTGGGCAGAAGAGACCTAACCAGGCTCCAGATTTACAAAGACCAGCCAAGAGCAAGAAGGGAGCAGTCAGCCCAGCCTTCCTATATTTTCCAAAGGAGGGACCAGAAGTCTAGGGAGGATAAAGGACTTAGCCAAAGCCATACAGCAAAAATAGTCACGACAAGACTCACCAGGCAACCCTTTTGCAGGCGAGGGTGTCCCCCAGTCACCCAACTTCCAAGCCTTCAGCCTGGAATGCACACAGGGCTTGTGGAGGCCTCCGGTTGACACCTGGCACCAGCCTTGTTGCCTCCCTCTTCATATGTTAGCCCTGAGGCCCTTGGCAAATATTGTCCCTGGTGGTGAGGCTCCAGGAAGGGCTGGCACCCGTCCCAGCTCACCTGGGCAGGATCTCCACCCTGCAACCTCCCAGCAGTCCAGGCTCCCAGCAGCCACCCCTTACCCACTGGGGCCTAGGAAAAGCAGAAAGTCGCTCCATGTCTCCCAGCAGTTAGCAGCTGTCACGGCTACAGGGGCAGTGTGGAGGTCCTACAGGGCCCCTCTGTGGGGTTAGAGTGGGAGTGGACAGGAGAGCCATGTTGAAAGTTACAACACCCACCTTTATTACCAGATTCCTGCTGTGCCCAATGGGCCCTGCCGGTTCATTTCTAAGCCTTTTAACTCCTCCAAATACCCCTGAAGATGAGGCAGTGTGACCCGCGAGTGGGGGCTCTGGCATCGGAGGAGCTGAGTTCAAACCTCTCACCTCCTGGGTGACCTAAGTCGAGTCACTGAAGAGCTATGCCTCAGTTTCCTCATCTGTAATGGAGGTGATAGTAAGAGTCCACCCACAGGTGTAAAGGCCACTAGGGGAGGAAGGCGGCTCTGAAGGTAGTAATGGCCTGTTAACTACAGATCCAGGAGAAAGTTGAGACCCAGAGGGGAGTGACCACCCAGGATCGCCAGCGCCTCCATTCTCCAGCAGCCGCAGGCAAGCGGACAGGGTGCAGGGTGCCGTGCCACCCCTGCCGGGGGCTAAAAGCCGCAGTGCGGGCCTCCGGGTGGGGGCCGCAGGGGAGGCCCTCCCGGTGCCGGCCCGCGTCCCCTGGGCCATCCCAGCCGCGCACTTACCCGGCAGGCAGGGCGCCCGGGGCGCCGTCCGTGGTCATCGCAGAGGGGGGCGGGCAGCGTGCCCCCGCCGGACGCCAGCTGCGGCCCAGGTGCTGCCGCCGGAACCCGAGCCCGTCGCTGTGCAGCGGTGCCGCGGACGCGGCTGCCGGGGAGGGGCGCGCCGAGGGCGGGGATGGCGGCGGGGCTGGGCCAGGCCTCCGGCTGCCCACCCGCGCAGTGGGGCCACGGCCACCGCCCTCCTGCGGATTGCGCCCCCACCCCCGGCTCCGACAGGTGAGAGCGCCGGGCACCCACGGCCTGCCTGGCCCATGCCCGGGTACCCTCTGTGCGCAGCCCCAGGGACCAAGCGCTTGCTCCTTCCTCACACAGCCCTGCCTATTTGGGGTCAGAAAGTTCTCCTAGATGAGATCCTCCTCCCTGTCACTCTCCTCTCCTCCACAGCTCCAGCCTCGCAGCGGCCCCCACCTGAACCCTTCATCATCCTACTGCATTCATTGGTGGGGGGCATTCAGGCAGAGAAAGTCCAGGCCTCCAGAGTCAGGTTTGGATTTTAATCCCACCCACTTGCCACTGCGTGACTGTGTTTGAGGAGACAAGGAAGCAGAAAATAGCGCAGTTTAACACTCACAGCTAGCCAGAAGGTCACAGTCGCCTTCTCAAATAATCCCCCTAACTGTCAATTTACAGATGGGGAAACTGAGGCGTGGAGTTCATGTGACTTGCTCAAGGTCACTCACCTAATAAATGGCAATTTGTGACTGGAACCCAGCCCTCCTGACTAGCTCACACTCTTGCCTCTTGCCTCCCTTGGTACCCTCTCCCCTGAATACCCAGTGATTATGTGGGGATCACCCGTAACACTCCTCAGATGCCCACTGTGTGCCCAGTCCTGAGGTATATGTCTCGGGCCAGGGTTGAAGCCAGCCTGGCAGAAAGAACCACTGGCCCATGAGGAGTTAACCAGCCACCACCCCCAGGCCCCAGATGCTCTTTACCATGACTCATCAGAGCACGTGGCAGCCATTAGAGCTGCCCCTTCACAAAGGCAGGGGACAGGAGGAGGAGGGACTCCAGTGCCCATGGATCAGCCCCAAGCTCCAGGATGTCAGAAGAGGAAATAAAAGGAGCTTGCAGAAGCAGCCCTAGCGGGAAGAGGGCTTGGGCTAGGTCCGGGGCTCGCCAGGCAGATTGCACCTGGTGGCAGAGAGGAGCGGTTCAGGGGATTACTGTTTAAATCTAAACAAGCTACCTGGAAAGACAGAGAGTTTTTATCCTGCTCATATGTGAACAGAGGCCAGATGCTCATCCTACCTCTGGGATTCTCAGACACAGGCACAGCAAAGATAATTTACCAGGAGCAGGCTATGATAACATTCAACCGTCACCTATAGAAAGCCAGATAAGGGAGAGTGCTACATAGGCTGGAGGGGCCCTGGGGGGCTTCATGGAAAAGGTGGGCACAGAGTTGAGCCTTCAAGTTTATATCATTTATACACAATGAAGTCGTGGAAAGGGTGCGCCATGTGGAAGGGCTGCATGTATGAAAGCATGGAGGTGGGCAAAAAAGCACGCTGGTGACAGCTGGAGTTTACATGGTGTGAACAGGAGCCTGGGGCCCCTATCACACTTTCAAATCTCTAGGCATTTACACATGCTGTTCCCTCTGCCTAGAACACACCTTCCTCCTTTGTCACTTATTATTCATTCATTTAACCATGGGTCAATTCAGATTACAATTAAAATACTTCTTAAAACAAACAAGCAAAAAGAATACAAATTTACCAAAGTAAAACGGCCAAGGTCCTCCCAGACCCTTGGGAGGGACCAGGTGAGTGAGGGGTTCTGAAGCTTTATGTTACATTAACTTCAAGGTAAGTCTTTATTATATTTGACCAACACTTATTAAGAACCTGCCATATGCCAAAACTCCTACATGCCCTACAGGTTTCAGTTCAGAAGCTGCCTCTTCCAAGAAGCCCTCCCTCCCTGATTGGGTCAGAGGCTTCCTGGGCACACACTGCCCTAAGCCCTCTGACCTACACAAATCACCCTGGGCTGACATCATGTGTGTGTGGTGCCGCTGGAGAGGTTTCTATGTGACTATCTCTGCCATCAGACTGAGA